GCTCTTGCTCAGGCTGGTCTCGAACTCCTGAGCTCAAACAATCCGCCCACCTCAGCCTCCCAGAGTGCTAGGATTACAGGCGTGAGCCACTGCGCCCGGCCTATGCCTATATGTTTATAACTGGTATCGGGTCCCTTCAACTAAAGAACCTTTTTTTAGTGTTTCTTACAGTGCCTACCAGGCATGAATTCTCCTAGTTTTTCCTTAAAATGTCTGATATTTCACACTCATTTTTGATGGGTGTTTTCCGTGGTTATGCAATTCTGGGATGACAGCTAAAAATTTTTTCTGTCCTTTTAAGATACTGTTCTGGACTCTGTTATTTCTGGTGGGATGTTTACCATCATTCACATTGTTGTTCTCCTTTATGTGATGTGTCCTTTTTCTTTGTCTACTGTCAGGGTGTTTTGTTTTATCTTTGGTTTTTAGTAGGTTGACTAAAGTTTGTCTAGTATAGTTTATTTATTCTGTTCAGGATACGCTAAACTTCTTGGATCTGCAGATTGTTCTTCACCAAGTTTAGGGAGTTTTCAGTTACTGGTTTTCAAAAAAATTTTCTGCCCCACCTTTTCAATTTGTCTTTTGAGACTCCAATTTCATATTCATATACGTTAGATTGCTTGATGTCACTGAAATGCTGTTCATTTTTCTGCAATCTGTGCTTTTGTTCTCCAGATTGGATAATTGCTGTGGATTTGGGCTCAGCTTCAAGTTGATTGGCCTTTTCTTGTGCTATCTCCAATCTGCTGATAGGACTGTCCAGTGAATTTTTTATTTCAGATGCTATATTCTAGAGTTTCCATTTTTTTGAAAATAGTTTCCCCTTTCTGCTGAGATTTCCCCTTAAATTCAACTTTCCCTATTGTCATGAATATATTTATTTATCATAGCTTGATTAAAATCTTTTTCTGTAATCCAATATCTGGGTCATCTTGGAGTCTTTCTTTGGCTTCTATTATGGACTACATTTTTAAAATAATAACTGTTTTTGGTTTTATTAGGTTATTAAGTATGAAATGTCCAATTTCCTTAAGTACTAAATTTGACAATTGGTATTTCTGACATTTCACTTTGACACTTGTTTTATTTTTATCATGAAGGTATATCCTCAGTCTTTCAAAGGCACAGTTAGGCTTGTGATATCTTTCAAATTTTTTTTTAGAGCAATTTTTGGGAAACCATGGATAAATCAAAAATTCGTGCTATTTTTGGATATGAGTTCCGTCATGGAACCAATGCAGTGCAAACAGTTCGAAATATCAGTGAAGTGTGTGGGAAGGATGTGGCTAAAGAAGGCACAGTACATCGATGGTTTGGGAAGTTCTGTTCTGATGATTTTAGTATTGAAAATGAGCTATGTTGGCGACTGGAGAGACCAAGGTGGATAATGATGAGCTGCAAGCTATAGTGGAAGTGAACCTATCTCAACCTACACATGAATTAGCAGCAAGGTTTGAAGTTACTATTCCACCAATATTGGACCAGTTGAAACAAATATGCAAGGTAAAGAAATTGGATAGATGGGTTCTGTGTGAATTAAACAAGTATCAGAAGAGAAATCATCTATAAGCTTGTCTTTCATTTGTTGTCACAACATAAAGGCAAACCATTTCTACACCAATTTTTTTTTTTTTCCCCTAAGGCAGAGTCTTGCTCTGTCACCCAGGCTAGAGAACAGTGGTGTTGTCATAGCTCCCTGAGGCTCAAGCAATCCTCTCGCTTCAGCGTCCTGAGTAGCTAGGGCTACAGGTGTGTGCCACCACGCCCAGCTAATTTTTTCTATTTTTAGTACAGACAGGTTCTTGCTGTTGCTTGGGCTGGTCTCTAACTCCTGAGTTCAAACAGTCCTCCTGCCTCAGTCTCCCAGAGTGCTAGGATTACAGGCATGAGCCACCATGCCTGGCCTCTACGCTGTATTATTATGTGATGAAAAATGGATTTTTTTTGACAATGGCAAGCATTCAGCACAATGGTTAGACAAAATGAAGTGCCAAAACACAGTCCAAAACCGAATAATCATCAAAAAAAGCTGATGGTGTGTGTTTGGTGGTCTAGCACTGGTATTATCCACTACAGCTTCTTGAAACCTGGTCAGTTGTTTACAGCAGATGTCTACTGCAACCAATTTAGACGAAATGATGAGGATGCTTGTGATTAAGCAGCCAAGATCGGTCAATAGAGACAGGCCAATCCTCTTGCAAGACAACGCTCAACCATATATCCCACAAACAATGCTGCTCAACTACAGCAGCTGGGCTTGGATACTCTCTGTCATCCACTGTAGTCACCAGACCTTGCACCAACTGACTACCACTTCTTCCAGGTTTTGGACTGCCTCTTGCAAGGAAAAATACTCAATTCTCAAAAAGCTGTAGAAAACGCCTTTCTCAAATTCATCACAGCTCGCTCTCCAGGCTTCACTGCAGGCTTAATAAGCTACAGATGACAAAACTGTTGATAGTTTAGGCACATACTTTAATTATACTGCTTCTTGTTTGAGATAT